TTGAATAAATTATTTGAATGTCTAAACTGATGGTAGTCATATCAGTAATATATTAACATGATGCTGAAAATCCAACATGACTGAAACATTACTTTCACTAGTGACCACATGCACTACCTGATTATTCTTTCCTTCTCTGAAAAGGATTGTGACAGTGACCACTGTGCTCAGGATCTTGGGGATTTCTTTCCTCCTCTCTTTGTTTCTTTTGCTAATTGTTTTGGGACAACAGGTTTTTTTTTTTCATCGACTTTTATGTCTTCAAATAAGCTAGTAATGTCACAGAACAGAATTTTACAGTAGTGCATCTGAATTACAGGGGCAGCATTCATAGCAGCATGATATCAATATTTGGATTGGCCAGAGGATCCCTAGTAAACACTGCAACTCCAGAGTGCAGACAGATGAGAGTTGGAGGCAAGTTGCAGTACACATGCAAAGATACAAACAACTGCATCAGAGAAAGCTGAGAAAAGACAGAGGTGAAAAATAATGAAGAAAGGGTGTTCTGCAAAAAGGAAAGTGAAAAACAAAAATAGAGGATTTCATGGGTAAATGATGGGACACCGCAGATGCAACTGGTGTCCAAGCAGATACAACTATTTCAAAGCAGTTTTTAATACCCGACACGGTTTCCCCAGGTCTGACCTCCATATGCAACAGTGAAACAGTTTTCTCCATAATGGACATACTAAAAATTAAATATTGTTTCAAGCTCAACAATAACCACCTTCACATGTGTATGAGAATGGTCCTGACTCCATGCAAGAACAGGTTTTAAATGCTGGCAGAACAAGCTGGTGTTTAATTCTCTGTCTGAGGAATAAAAAATAGAGGGAGTTGAATAAAAGAGGGGAAGAAAGTGAGCCTGTAAAACTCTAAAACAAATTGTCAAGATGTGTTGAGATGTATTATCTGCAAGGTTATTATCGTTAACAAAAACTAGAAGTGAAAAAACATTTTTGTTAACGGAAATAAAAATAAAAACAAAAAAAGGAAAACTAACTAAAA